TGGCTACATGATTCATGTATAATAATTTCATTTGATACATCGGATATTACGTCTGCCTTCACGTGTTTGCAAGAAGTATAATTAAATATTAATTAATTTTAAACTTCTTAGAAGTACTGCAGAAAATATCGGATAAGCATCGTATTCTGATAGCTAATTTATACCGCGCGATTATAATTAATCGCATTTTTGTAAATAACAACATGAAAAAGGAAAGAGATCTAGAAGACATCGGATGCAACAATAAGGTGAGTAACATATACGCATATAATATGTATAATTATTATTATTACTAATATTCATTTTTTTTAAGCATAAATTTTATTTTAATTTTTTGTAGTTCATCTATTATATATATTGATCTATTATATATTGATACACACACTAGATGTTATACACTGAATTAGATTTTATAACAGCTAAGACAAGTATTAGTTACGATAGCGCTTTAAATAATGCAATAATACAGAGGAAATGATAGTTTGATAATTGATTTCCAATTTATATTTTGTATAAATAACATTATTAATAATCAGTATTTAAATTAAAAACTTGACGATTGCAAAGTATTGTTCAATCAATTCTACACTTAAAGCTATAAAATATTTGTTATTTAGGACATTATTTTAAAAGTGTAGCGATACATGCAGTATGGGTCAAAGAAAAACAGAAATAGTAACGTGGCCTCTCATAAAAATAGATTTTATAAATTGATTTTGTTTAAAAACTGCAGTATTCAGTTACAAATTTTGCAAAAAAATTTATACATATGTTCGTATAACAATACGCTCAAATTTAAAAAGAATAATATGTATAACAAAATGCTGTACTTTAAAAAATTTACGTTTTGAAATGCTTGAAAGTAAAAATACGTGTTATAATTATAATAAATGCCAGCTTTTCCGTATTGGCATAATGTATGGCAGTACTGAACAAATGAGTATCAAATGTCATTAAAATTTGCTATAATTTAATAGCAAAGATATTAAAAAGGATCATAACATAAGAAGTATAATATCTTTTCTTCTACAAAACGGCACGGCGCGTAGTACATCGACCTCATTCAATGTCAGTGTAGTGAATGGTGCGCGGCGACCTTGTGTACGCAATGGCATACCGTACACCGCAACACAAACATCATAGCTCACTAAGGCCGCAAGCTAACTGATGCGATTCTCTAAAATCAAGAGATGCGGTAACGCTAAGAATATTTTTCGTACATCCTATCATAAGCAAGATGCTACGTATGTTTAATTTCTCCGATGAGAGCCGTAGTAGTTATTAGAATCGAAGTATTAATAATCATTACCGAATTATTATACATATTCGCAACAAGATGAATAATACAAACATTTCAGCCAACGTTTTGATTTTTAATTCGAGTCTCTCTTTAATGCAACAAGATAAAAAATAAATAGGCAGTTCCAATCTCTTCTTTCCATTATAGTCAATTCATATATAATAATGTATTTTTATGGAACATTTTATAATATTAAAAAATTAAATTTTATACACAATTTTTTATTTTTATTTAATGTGATTAAAAAAATCATAACTTTTGCAAAAAAAACAAGGTTAAATAATAAAAAAATTTGTAATATAAAGATATTCTTTAAGCTCAAATATCTTTCACTTAAAATTATTTTTTATCTTACAATATGTCAGTATTAAATTATGAGTTACATAGATATGGTAAATAAAGACAGAGACGATTACATCTGCATTTACTTCAAAAGTTATAATCCACTGTGGAACTATAAAGCATCTGGTAATAGGTCTAAGTGGATTACACAGAGCACAGTCAAACACAAGTAGCGCAAATAGTTTGTAGTCAGGCAGTAGTAATATCTCGTACATGGTCAACTAACAATTAGGACACGAGTATCTAAACCTCTTTCCTCAAATATGGAACAAAAGAACGTAAAATACAATACTATAATTGATATCAATTGTATATCATTGACAATATATATAAATATTAAATATTAAATATATTAAATATATATAAATATATAATATATATATATATATATTAAATAAATTACATT